ATATCTCAGTTATCTGTGATGATAGTGTGTTGCAGTTTTCACATTGATGATTTCTTACTTTTTGTGAAACGAACATCGCCGCGAACAACACATTCACATTCTTTCATGTTTTTGAGATACAGTTGTAAATTCTCACCTCATGATGAGTATGCATACGTCAAAAGCAACTCCCTATAATGTGAAAAAATATTTTGATAAAATCCATTTGTTTTTGTTTTATACGCAAAAAACAGATTTTGATCATTCTCATGTCTCCTCCGTAACTTCTTTATTTATGAAAATATTCAGATAGGAATTTCACATTCTTATGGCAGTTTTTCAAAGTGAAAAAAATATGAAATTTATACCAACTCTTCTAGAATTTGAGATATCAGCACCAACTTTAGTTTTTCAAATGTAGGTCATAGCTCACTATGACTTAGTTACAAATAACTTCTTTCTCTCTTACAAATGATGTGTCGCAGTAATAGTTTTGTGTTGATAACAGCGGAGTTATCGTCATTTATACAAAAACAAAATTTTATTTGGAAGCCGCCATCTTGAATTTATAAATTTCAACAAAAAAAACATGATCTCCGACTTCGAAAACACCCACTTACCAATTTTGAATGTAATCGGACCCAATCTTGTCCGCCATCTTGGAGCAGCCATTTTTTTTAATGTCAACAAAAATTCCATGATGTATTGTCACCGAAATCATGAACACCTGCCAAATTTCAAGTCAATCTAAGTTATTGAATTTTTGTTGACATTAAAAAAAATGGCTGTTCCAAGATGGCGGACAAGATTTGGTCCGATTCCATTCAAAATTGGTAAGTGGGAGTTTTTGGGGTCGGAGATTATGGTTTTTTGTTAAAATTTATGAATTCAAGATGGCGGCTTCCAAATAATTTTTGTTTTTGTATAAATGACGATAACTCCGTCGTTATCAACACAAAACTATTACTGCGACCTATCATCTGCAAGAGAAAAGAAAGTTATTTTTAACTAAGTCATAGTGAGCTATGACCTACATTTGAAAAACTAAAGTTGGTGCTGATATCTCAAATTCTCGAAGAGTTGGTATAAATTTCATATCTGAATATTTTCATAAATAATGAAGTTATGGAGGAGACATGAAGATGATCAAAATTTGTTTTTTGCATATAAAACAAAAACGAATAGATTTTATCAAAATATTTTTTCACATTATAGTTGGCCTTGACAAACTCCACATTTGGTGTCATTTAACCTACCTCGTATCTCTCACCGTTGAAAAGATACCCATGGTGAGCATGGTAAGTGGGACACACTGTATATAACTTTCTACTTATAATCCAGTGGCGTTCTCATTTTATTTCTGTTTTTACCCATTTTTGGAAAAAGGAGTCAAAATATTTTTTTTGTATTAAAATAGACCTAATTGTTTATTATATATTTTTGATGAGCTCTAAGAAATCTGAATCCAACTGTAAAGGAATAACCTAACCTAACCTGACCAATGACTACCAATGACTTCTGCATTTGACGTTGTATCATAACGTTAACTCTCGCGTTAACCAATTTGCTAATCGTTTTTTTTTTGTTTTGCTGTATTCTCATAGAGAAAGTACAGTCTATTACACGTCTATTGCACGTTTTTTAAACTTCTCGTTCGCTAGTAATATAGGCCATTCCAATTTTTGTTGTATAGAATATACTAAACCACCTATATATGTGTATACCTATTCATGTACTATCATGTTGACAGAGGCATTTCATACGACTAAAAAAATTAAGTGGTATTACATTTAAACTTCTAGGGGCCCTTCTTGTATTATATAGGTCTCGTATAGGTACGTCCGTTTTCACTAATCAATTAATTTATAAACATTGTTTAGTTGTCTCTTCAATCAACGTGACTAGGAACTCAATCCTGCTATGATAATATGTACAGGGTGATTGACTATGGGTTTCACGACTTCAACAGCTGATATCTCGAAAACGAAAGAAGATATTTGAAATTTGGAAAAAGGTACTTGAATGAGATGTCATTTCCTTCTAGAAAATGTGTTTTCTGCTTGATTTTATCATTTTATATACAGGGTTTGTGAAAAAAAAATTTTTTTCAAATGGAACCCCCTGTATATCATCGCATATTTGGAAAGAGCTCTCTTTCTTGATTTCGAAAATATATACTCTCCATATATTCTATCGAGGGCTTGACGAAACGCCTTACCAACGTGAATAGAATACTAACGCTTCTACCACGCAGCACGCGGCTACCTGGCCTCCTGATATACCTCAATTAATATTTGAATCCAACTTTCCTGTAATATTTCATCTCTCGAGAGCAATCATACTATAACAATAACAAAAATAATTCTGGAATTCGATCGAATCAAATGTTTAAAAACACGTCCATTATTTTCACGACAACAATTCAGGCGTTTGATGAATGATGTCTTCAATTTATCAAAAAGCTCCGGGTTTGCATTTAGATCCGCAATCTCTACTATTATTTTATCGCGTATTTCATCTGAATTATTTGCTCTCTGCCTATAAACTCTGTCTTTTAGTGTTCCCCACAGAAAGAAGTCGAGTGGTGTAAGATCTGGGCTTCTTGGTGGCCAGGAAATCGTGCCGCGCCAAATGGGATGATCATGTGATAGGTACATGGCGAAAATGAAAGACAGATAGTTTCTGTACGAGTAGCTGAATTCGAAAAAATATGTTCCTATCTTATAGATTGCCCAATATCATGAGTTATTTTCGAAGGTTTTCATCTTGACTCAAACAAGCTATTGACAACCTGCAGACATTGATCAGAATATCAAAACATTTTGAACAATATCGGTTTACTAATGATATTTAAATTTGGAAGCCTACCAAGTGTCGATATATCATCGAATTCATGTCACATCCAACTTATTCTTTCTGAATAAAAAGCAATTCAACAGCGAATTAAGAAATAAATGCCACTTTGTGATACATGGTTGGATAAAAAAAAATCATTGAGTTCGTAAAGTGCGCTACCATTTATTATATACCCCCTGTGAATTTCAAAATTTTATCTCTTCAAATAAAAAAACTACAGGCTGCTACATGTCTCCTGTGTCACCCGGTATATCATTCAATTTTTGGAATATCCATGAAAAGCTGAATTCAAAATTGTATGTCGAGGGGAATTCCGCTGAAGAGAGAAATTGTGTGTACACCATTCAATGCCATAATAATGCCTCATAATTCAATTTATTGACTAATAGTTAAACCTCGTAATTCCTCGTATTTTCTCGTAATTCCTCACAATTCCTTGGTAATTTCTAGCAATACCTCGTATTTCTTTATTTATTTTGTGATACCTGCTGATATTTGAACAAAAGGTAGACTATTTTTGCGCCTAAATGAACCTTCTTCCTAGAAAGAATGTTTTTCATTATATGGAATGACTAAAACCATACTATTAGGCAAACGATGTACGAAATTTAGAGTTACGCTGTTTTCCGGCAATACGTGAAATGACTAGACATTCCAGAGAATGACGGATTTCACTGTTTGACGCCGACATATATATTTTGGCTAAAAATTAATTTATTCACTACTTCAGCAATCAATTTAAGGGACGCACTGTATACAATTACTAACCCTATGTGAACTACATTCTCGAACTCAGATTTTCATACAGATTTCAAAATTCGTAAACTTGATATATAGTGTGTTCCATTTGGAAAAATTGTAGCACACCGAGTCGCGCAAATCATAACTCACACTGTATAATTTTCCCTGAAAATTGAGGCAAATGAAAAATGAAAATCGACCTGTTTCAGGAGATTCCTCAGGAATAATAAAGGCTGTCTGATTATTGAACAGCTAGATTGAAAATAATCATTTACAAATCCCGAGGCAAATCCCTATATAAGGTTGTCTGCTCGCCGAATTTGTGCATTGTATATGATGAGGATAAAGGAACCTTCAAAAAGGCTCACGAGGGAGATCCTGTCACTTAATAGAAGGACACTCAAGATGGTAGTTGGGCTCTTAACTGGGCACAACCACCTCAACAGGCACCTAGAACTGTTAGGGATCAGAGATGATCCCATCTGCAGATGGTGCTTGGAGGATGATGAAACATCATCACATATACTCACTGAATGCCATCAGAGGAAAGCTGCCTTTGGGAGCATTGTACTGCACCCAGAAGATGTGAAAGCGACTCAGCTGAGGAAGCTGCTGAATTTCGTCAAAGAAATCGGCATGCCCAGCTGATTCACAGGACAAGTGGGCGCACAATGGGCTCGACTGAAGAGGCCTGAGTGCAGGGGTCTACGCACCCGCCCACCTGTGCAGAGAAGAAGAAGAAGAAGAAGAAGAAGAAGAAGAAGATGATGAGGAGTTGTTGAGGTGGGAAGTAGACTTTTGCAATCCACATTTTTGTGAAGTAGCTTACGCTATGGATCTGACAAGATTCTCCATGAGAGAGTATTATACTGATGAAAGTTCGGAGCATAATATGGTGGATCTCGAGGTGGATCTTGTGAGAATTCATGGTACCTGGTGATACCAGATATTGTTATATCAGGCATACTGTGTTCGACTATTTAGGAAATTCAGTGCTTGTTGGTGACGTTTGGTTCAGTTGGGTTGGTGGTTCCTCGTCATGTTGTAATTTCAGCAAAATCATCATTTAAGATCGTTGACCTGATCCCTTTGTCGTCAGTTTTCAGTATGAAATGGGATTTCTGGAAGAGAACGTAGCATGAAGGGTACCTATATACTGTCAGTTATACTTTTTAATAGTCTTATAAAAAATAATGACTGAATTCTCAGAATATTCTTCGATAACATAATCGTAGGCAAGCATATCGAGTAACAAATATTAAAAAGCACATATCACGAGGTTTTTCGTGAAAAATATGTAAACTATAAGTGTGATTCACGAAATTGTAGCAAACCGTAGCCTTCAAGTATATAATATCAACAGTGTCGTTCAAGGTTCACATATTCATTTTGCATAATAATGATGATTATATTCGTATTTTCAGTGGAAATCAAGATGGTGTGTCATGAGAAAACTATCTCCAGTTGCAGGTAAATTTATTTTTTTATTATTATACAGGTTGATCGGCAAAAAACACTATGCTGCTATTTATTATCCGATTATCAAAACACAAAAAATCTATTGAAATAACTCATCAGGTACTACAAGGTGGTACCAATATTTTTTCTTCATTCCCAACTGTCACAACAGGGGTCAACTTTGCATGTATGTCGACATGTGTTCATATTTTTTTTTTCAGATAGAGATTTTTTTTCGGAAAACAATGACGTATAATAAGTTGAAATTAGTTTCTCTCGGCGATTCCTTTCTTCATTTCACTCGTAGAAGCTATACCTATACAGGGTGATCCACGGTGGATGGCCTATAAGAAGGATCTGGAGAACGAAAAGACAGAACATTCTGGAAATTGGGAGGCTTTGATAATTGAACATTCTCTATCCGTCTAAAATATTTTCATCGATACAGTGTTGCCACTTCTATCAGAAACAACTAGCAAATTCGTTATTTCACATGGAGCACCCTGTATATTATTGTATTTTAGATTCTTCCTAGAGAGTTGATTTCATCAATGCATTACACTTGGTGTCTAGCAGGAATGATTACGGAGATATAGGGTGTTCCAAATCGAGATTTTTCAATTTTAGGATTTTTCTGTGTCGAGACTATTCATTATCGATCGAAACGGCTCACATTTCCCTATCTCAACTTCCGATTCACTATCTACTGACATTTAATTGGAACAGATATACAAGGTGATCAGAATTCTGAATCATGAAGCACCCTCTATTTTTTCCTATTTCAGTAGATAGTAAATCAAAATCAATTAAGATAGGGACATGTAAGCCGGCTTGATCGATAATGAATGGTCTCGACACAAAAAAATACTAAAATTGTGAAATCTCGATATTGAACACCCTATATATCTCTGTAATAATTCCTGCTAGATCCCAAGTGTGATGCATTGATGACATCAGGTCTCCAGAAGGAATCTAAAAATGCAATGAAATACAGGGTGTTCCATTTGTAATAACAAAGTGGCTAGTTGTTTCTGATAGAAGTGGCGATACTGTATCGATGAAAATATTTTAGACGGATAGAGAATGTTCAATTATCAAAGCATCCCAATTTTCAGAATGTTCTCTCCTTTCGTTCTCCAGATACTTCTAATTTGCCATCCACCGTGGATCACCCTGTATCGTGTTACTGAGAATCTGATGTTTATAATTTATTTATATTATATTTAGTTTCTCACTTATCGTCTGAAGTTTCTCATATTTACTTTAAAGATGTTTATCAAGTATAACGGCAGATTCAATATAAAAATAAACCCTGTATCCTCAATTCCATTGATCAGTTCTAATTGGTGTGGAATTTTCCATCTAGTCATGTACGAGGTATCACGAGAGGTATCAGTATAGTTTATCGATTGACAATTATTGCATTTCATTTCATTAAAAGCGAGCTGTGATACTAATTCGCGAGCTAATTCAATACCTAATCCCTTGAGATTTTCCATTAACGTAAGTTATTTTCCGATGTTATTTGATCTCTAAAAATCGACTAGGAACTACCAGCAAAGATCGATCAAGTCTGGAGAAAAATTGAAACTACACCGGATTACTAAGTGCTCTTTGGATCAGAAGATTATCGAAATCGATTCGAAGCCGTCTTGACTGCTTCCAATAGAATATAAAATTACTCTCAATAGAAAAACGAATGCCACTTTCTGATAAACCGTTGAATTCGAAATTTTATGAGGAATGAAGATATATTTTTATCGTTATACTTTGTTCATTCAGAATCAAAGGTAGTATACATACTTACACTGTTGGAAATTCGTCAATAATTCAAAGATTGTAGTCTCAGAGAAGGTCGAGGAGTAGGTCTTGAACACAAATTCATAGTTGGATTATCAACAGTCATTACACAAGTGGTGGTAATATTTTGATAATTTTTACTAGATGCACAAATCTTTTATTATATAGAAATCTCATACGAGTGGACGTGATTATTCATTTAACTATTTTGCAGACGCAAAACGACCATTTCACATCAGCCACAAACTTCGGTTTTGCGTCATTTTTGTCCGAACAGATTTGATCGTCGAACAGAACAGCCTATATACCAACAACGCAGTCAAGGATGTATTCATTCACGGAGAAAAAAATAACGCTGTTATTTGCTTTTGACAAATGATCAGTATATATGATACCAAGTGATTGGCTATAATTACGCATCGATAGTTGAAACAAAGGAAACGTCACATTTTGACACGTGAAAAATATAATCGATAAGATCTAAATCTACTACTTCTTCCCCTTGTATAATAAATAACTATTTTGTGCGCTGTTTGAAAATGAGTGAAAAGGATTCGATAAAATTTTACAAAAGTGCATTTCAGAGAATAACCCTTCTCTCAGTGATCAAAGAACCCTGAAACAAATTGTAATAGGGCTGAAACCACCCTCACCCAAAGGAAGTCTCAAAGCAATAACGGGATTTCTAACGGGGCATTGCAGACTCAAAGAACACCTAAGGAAGCTAGGCTTACAGGAGGACGGCACCTGCAGATTCTGTGAGGAAGAACCAGAAACACCCTATCACATACTGATGGAGTGTAACGCTGTACATCACAAAAGATTGAACATACTGGGAACACACCAGCTGACTGTGGAAGAAATACCACAGCTAGACCCCCTCAAAATCCTCAAATTCCTGAAGGAATTGAATCTCGAGGGGCTGCTATGAACAAGAAATCCTTGATATAGCAGGAGCAGATGGGGCACAATAGATCTAATTGGGTCGCAGCGCATCTGTCACCATCCAACCTACCAATACCAATACCAATACCAACCACCCTCACCACCTGACTTATTTTTTCAATTTTCTCAGGGGTGGTAATGAGGTTTTCTATATCTCAAAGCCAGATGACTGATCAATAATCCTCATATTGTTACTATTGAGAAAATTTCGTATTCTACATAGTTCCGATTAAATACTGCTGACATATTAAATTATATTCCTAGTAACAGTTTGATAAAATTGAAATTCGAAATTATCTGGCATTGGAAACAAACGAATTGACATTTGTATTGATGAAGGTGGCGTCGTATTGAACGTTGATTAAAAAAAACGTTCTGCCTTTGTTTCCATTGACATCTAAACTCGCATCTAAATTTTTTTAAATGATATTGTACCTTTACTATAGGAACATCTGTTAGCTTTATTTGAGAAAACATTTTTCCCTTCCGAACTATGTGGAACACAAAATTCCTACAACAGTGTACGAGAATGTGTTTTTTATGTGGACTTTGAACTCGTCTCATCACGGACAGACGGTACATTTTGTTACATAAATAACTTGGGTCCAATCAACTTATTTTGTCTTATATAACACGTGATAGGTTTGTGTCCCAGCAAATTTGGGACACCCGGTATAGATAATTACACCAGAGAGCTTTATTTATCGAATAAATCAACTTGACATTTGCGTCGAAATTAAACGAGAAGGCAGAAATGATTACGAGTCTGTAGGACGAGTAATTTTTTTGCAGTTTTTGAGTTTGGTTCACTGAAAGCAACAAAACTAGAATGATGAATATTAAGTTTACATCGACTCAAGAAAATACTCAATTCCGTAAGACAATTCAATCAATGCGTGAATCACATTATTGTAGATGGATTTTTCCTCAGTTTTTTCAATGTCTCTTCTCCAAATCGCGACTAACGACGTGAACATGGGATTTTTCATTCATGTGCAGAATTGTCGATAGAATACTATATGTTCTTGATAAAAATGCAACAGGCAAAACATTATTCATCAAAAGATATCTTGGCTCAGTTTGTTATTTATGTTTTCAAAAGGTCATCAGTTGTTTCATCGATAGAAGATGCAAATTGACCGCTAATATCATTCACAACAAGATCGGAATTCATGGGTGTAGAAGTATCATAAAAATGTTGAATAAATCATCATCATGTTTTCAACTATGAAGGAATTTGTTGACATTGACTCAATTTCAACAATGTTAGAATTATTGGTTGAAATAAATCAATTTCACATTCTGTTGTTATATAAATGAAAAAGCCAATGATTGCATTATTTGCTTTCGAAATATGATAACCAATTCACCGTTCTGATGTATCTCACATCTTTCCTCAATCTCCATAAAGTGCGATAATGCCAATTTAATTCATGTATGAAAAATCCCACAAGCCGCGTGATTTTGTCATCATGACAGCAACTTTTCCAGCGACAATAACGGAACCTAGCTTTTGAAAGCATGACACTAGTCATAAACAATAAATGTTTGATGAATTAAATTGTCCTACCGAATTGTACTCTAGCTTTTTTTAGTCGAAGTAAACTTGGCATTTATAATTCGAATTTTCTAGCCATTAGGTAATTCAACTCTAGATTCAACTCTAGACACTGCTTGAAAAAAGAGTGAATTTTCACTCGAACTTTACTCAATAATGTCTCAATTTCAGTCCACGTCCGATTGAGTTAAAAATTCACTCTACTTGACTGAGTGAAATGGTAATTGAATGAGTGAATATAAGGAATCACAATTGAGTCAATGTTCCCAGTTCAGATTTGAATATTATTTCAGCTTTGCGATTTCTTGAGAATCTTGAGTGAGTTTCAACTCATTTTTGAGTGCCTAGAACATTTATTGAGTTTGTATATGCCCATTTTTGAGTGCTTTTATACCCAAAATGAGTATTTTAAAACTTTCTATGACTGGTTTTATATAATATTGAGTAGATATGATATATAGTACAGAAGTTTATTAACAATCAGAGTAGATTACAATCACATTGTACTCCTAATAAAGAACAAAGCTAACACAATTTGAAATCATCAGTACATGTGGTCTCGCCTTCTGAAATCAAGTATGGCTTCTTCTCGCTGCAGCATCTCACTAACAAGCAAAAAATGTATATATAAACAGCTGAATCAAAAATGTATTCGTCAGAGCAAATTTGTTCTGGGTATGTTACCTAAATAGAGACAAATTTACGAATA